AAAAAAGGGAAAATTACACTTAACCTACCTATGATTTAGGATGAGTGCATTTTAAAGGTATGTGATATCAAAATATGATTTAAAGACCTGTGTTTTGAAGTAACAGTAATAAAACACTATTATTATTAAAAACCTAACAAAAAAACTTAACTTCTTATATTAATTCCTCTAATGCCCTTCCAGCATAACACTACCATCTTGCTCAACACTAAAAGTTAAATTGTACATACTTCATTTGACTCATTAGAACTACTTACAGTCTCATCATTTCTTGACAACACATTACCATCCATCTACCAAAATACATAAAAAATTATAATAATTAATTTATTCATTCATTTTAACTAGCCACATTCAGACCACTTGCATAATTCAATTAAAAAAATAATTTGCATATATATAAAATATTCATAATTAACATATATTGTTGAAACTAATTAAAATTAAATTTGTATAAAATCAAGAATATATGATTTAGAACTGTAGGAGACCAAAGTAGAACCTTTTAATTTTCAAATGAAATCCTCATTTTTTAAATCTTAAAAAAGCCATAAAATTTTCAACTGAACACAAAAAAGTTGATAAAAGAAAATTAGAAACAAAGTTTCACTTTGGAATATAAATTACAATAAATTAAAAGATTTTATTCAATTACCTGCAGAGAGTTATTGTTTTTGGTTTTCGTCTTCACTTAAATCGATCTTTGAAAATTCTTATAAAAGAGAGTTTGTGAGATGATTGAATTTTTGCTCTCCTCTTTTTATTTTTTAAGTCAAGAGTATTTAAACTATTGCATATAATTTTAGCATCATTTGGATGGCAAGAGTGGTTTGGTGCATAAGGTTCAAAGTAAAAGTCTTTAAGTGCATATTTCAATTTTACAAACCTTTTAACAGACTTATCTTAAATCACAAGTAAGTTATGTATAATTTTCCTTAAAAAAATTGTATTATCCCTTGTTAGGGATTGTATTCTAAATAAAAATTCAATTCGATTCGTAGAACATAAATCATTTTAAAGATATGCATACAATAAAGGGACA